CGGTCCCGGTCCCGGCCCGCTCGGCTCGGCTCGCCCCTGGCCATGGCTCAGGCGGCGCTGGGCGCGGCGGGGCTGCACTTTGACGAGCTGAACAAGCTGCGGGTGCTGGAGCCCGAGGTGGCGGCGCAGACGGCGCAGCTCCGCGAGGAGTGCCGGGCCTTCGTGGACAGTGAGTGCTGAGGGGCCGGGCCGGGCACCATCGGCTCCCCACTCCTCCGGCCTTTTCTCTTTCACCGCCCCTTTCCTCTGGTTCCAAGGAAAATCTTAAAACGTGGCTGTTCACAGTAAACTCTAATCATAAAGCTGTATCTAAAATCTATGCCASACAGCAGGAGCATTAGATCTCTTAAAGGCAGCTCTGGATATCACATGATCTTTTTTTTTTTTTTTCTTTACAGAAACAGCAGAATTTCAGAAAATAGTGGGCAGCTTGATTGAGGTGGTTGACCAGCTGGCTAAAGCTGCAGAAAGTGAGAAGATGAAGGTACTGTGCAGTTAATTCCTGGCTTCTCGTGTGCTCTCTGTGGGGCYTCTCTATTCCTCCCTCCCTCTAGAGCAGAACAACGATTCTCTGTCAGCATCCCTGGCATTCTCCTGGCATTAAACAATTAATTAAGTGATATTAATGAATTCATGAAGTCTGTGACAGTGCAACATTACTCACATATGTACCAGTTCTGCTCTCCCTGCTTGTTTACATTTCTGCACATAAACAGAATGTGTGTTTTTCAGTCACACCTTCCACTGGTAGAAATGTGTTCTCCAGAAGCAGGAGAGCCCTCCAGTAGCCACAGTGTGTCTGGCTGTGGAACCAGCACCCAGTTTGTGTGTCCAGAGCAGTCACTGTAGAACCAGCACCCAGTTTGTGTCCAGAGGAGTCACTGACTTTGTTCCTGGGGTTTGAGGGAAGCCCCACAGGGACAGTGGGTCAGTCCTACCAACCCCTCAGGAGCACAGCATCACCCTCCCTTACTGCTGGCAACCAATCTGCTGGGAGGGATAGAGGCTAAAGAAGGTAATAAAAAAACCCTCCACACATCCCTGCTTCTCCTGCCAGGCCATCGGGGCACGGAACCTGCTGAAGTCCATTGCAAAGCAGAGGGAGGCTCAGGAGCAGCAGCTCCAGGCTTTGATAGCCGAGAAGAAGATGCAGCTGGAAAGGTGAGTGTTGTGTTCAGGGCTGTGGGTTGCTGTGCAGGCTGGGGAGGCTCAGGGTGGATACACACTGACCACCTGTACTGGCCGTGGGACCCTCAGCTGGTTCAGTCCCACTTGCAGCAAAGGTGTGTCCTGCCCAGAGCACACACAGACAGTGCCACAGAAGCTTCTTTCCTGTACACCCTCAGCAAAGCTGTGCCCTGCCCAGAGCACACACAGACAGTGCCACAGGAGCTCCTTTCCTGTACACCCTCAGCAAAGCTGTGCCCTCCCCAGAGCACACAGGGACAATGTCAAAGAAGCTCCCTCCCTTCAGGCCCTGCACTGAACCCAAAAGGTTCATCCTTGAGCACTCCAGGGCTGAACAGAGGCAGCAYGAGCTGGGGCAGTGCAGAACTCGCAGCAGCCTCGGGTGTGGCTGCTAAAGGCTCTTTAGAGCTGCTCAGGGACTCA